GTCCTGACTTCATAATAAAGGTATTTTTTTTTCACTCAAAATTCTCATCTTGCATTTTACTATAGTCAGCTAGAGGAAAACAGCATCTTCAACACGCTCCTTTGAAAATCTCCTTGTTAATTTCCTTGTTCTATTTTCTCCTTACTTCTATTTTCCATATTACTACAGGTGATAATGTTGCTTAAATTTCTGACCCTACATAATAAATGGTCACATTCTTCTAGCTTTCAGTAACATATCCTCAATTTCCTTTCAGCCCTCTCTGACAAGTACCTTGAGGACCATAACCTTTACCACTAACAGTTTCTTCAAGGGCCATTACACTAATAATCTCAAAGTCCTTCCAGATTCAGCCTGTCACTCAGTCCCAAAGCTATGTTTTAGGTTTTCCTTATGGCAGCACCTCACCTTAGGTAACAAGATGTGTTCCAACTATCTATAACTGGGTAACAAACCTCCAAAATTTAGTGGCTTGAAACATTTATTTTGTTCATGAAACTGCAGTCTAGGTAAAAAATTGGTATAAGAATTTAAAGAAAATCTAAATGAATGTAGAGATATTAACATGATCATTGATTATAAAACTCAATGCTATTAAGATGTTGATTCCCCCCAAATTTCTACCTAGATTCACCACAATCCCTATCAATACGCAAATGGAAATTTTTTTGACAAGCTGAGGCCAAAATTTACATGGGAATCCATATAAAACAAAACAATTTTTTTCAGAAAAAACAGGTAGTAACACACCTGATTTCAAAACTTGCTATAACTCTACATTAATCTAGACAAGGTATTATTTTATTAACAGATACAGAGATCAATGGAACATCATAAAGAGTTCAAATCCACACATCATGGTCAGCTGATTGTTGACAAAGGCAGAAAGTTAATTCAATGAGGGGAAAGAATGGTCTTTTCAACAAATGGTGCTGGAGCAACTGGGTATCTAATGGGAAAAATAAAAGGCTGAAAATAAATCACAGACAACTGTAAGAACTAAAAATACAAAATTTCTAGAAAGAAAAATGTTTTGTTTAATCAATCTTTGATTTTTCAAAAGAAGATAAATTAGATTTTATCAAAATTTAAAATTCTTGTCCTTCAGAAGACACCACTAAAAAATGAAAAATTCTAGGGAAAAAAATAGTTATCCTGTAACAATTGTTTTGAGAAGGCAAAATGTGTTCCTACATGATATATTAGGGAGCAATTTGAGCATAACATGAATTTAACACTGATGTTCAACCAGATCCACAAGAAACATGAAGGGAATGCACACAAGTGCACCCACCTGAACTGAGCCATGTAGGGATACCCAAAATGAACACTCACGTATTCACAAATCTGCCAGTTACCTCAATTCACTCTGTGCATAATCTTTTAGGATTGTTTAGCTATTCTTTCACATTCTCCACAAATACATATACATATATTTGTGATATATATATCATCCCCAAAACATCTAAGTGTCCTGATTAAAAAATGGCAAGCAGTGCATGTAAAAGCAGTGCATTAAGTATTAAAGTGAAGCTTGAAATAACAAAGCATTTTAAAGGAAACAAGAGAACATGTACTATCTCCTCAGCAACCAACAGAGACAACACTGAAAATGTAAGAGAAATTCCTGTGGCTCTAACTCCTTCAAATACTGCAAAGTCTAGAAGACCTGAAGAAGTAGAAGCAATGGAAAAGTTATTGAGCATACAGGTTAAAGACCAAAACGAAAAAATCAGGAACTTGTCTCACAAAATGAAAGTGCTATCCACATACAAAGACCTTAAGTATAAATCACTGAATCCTGCAGAAATGGTTCCTTAAGGGTAGTATTGGCTAGTTCGGTGGTTTCGAACAGTGCTAGAGCTATAAAGCAGGAAACTCAAGTCTAGGGTAACAGTGATTTTCTATCAGGGTATGGAAGGTCTAATGCACCACCTTCTGACCTCCATTATTGCTACTGCAAAGTCATCCAACAGTGCAGCTGTCCTTTAAGGAACATACTCTTTTCAAGCTGCTTTCAAGATCTCTTCTGTCTTTGAGGATCTGCCATTTTATTATGCTGGGTCCATACAATGACTTCATACTATTTATCCTACTTGCAAATTGTTGGCCTTCTTGAATTTGTGAATTAGTAGAACTGATCAACTCTGGAAAATTCTGTCATTATCTCTCCAAAAGCGTTTCATCTAAGATCAGGAAAAAGACAAAGATGTCCATTCTCACTACTTCTACTTAACAAAGTACCAGAAGTTCTAACCACAGCAATCAGACAAGAAAAAGAAATGAAACATTCAAACTCGTAAGGAAGAAGGAAAATTTTCACTATTTGTAGATGACATAATGCTATATATATAGAAAATCTTGAGATACCACCAAAAAACTATTTAAATACATGAATCCAATAAAGTCACAGAATACAAAATCAACAGAGAAATTTGTTGCATTTCTATATACTAATAATGAAAAGAATAACAAAATATATAGAATATATTTCTATATACTAATAAAAACATATTTACAATTGCATCAAAAATACTAAAATACCTAGGACTAAGTTTACTCAATGAGGTGAAAGATCTGTACTTTGAAATCTACAACACATTGATAAGAGAAATTAAAGACAACACAAATAAGTGAAAAGATTAAAAGTGCTCATGGATTGGAAGAAGTATTATTGTTAAAATCCATACCCAAAGCAATCTACAGAATCAATGCAACTTCTATAAAAATACTGATGGCATTTTTGACAGAACTAGAATAATCCTAAAATTTGTATGGAACCATGAAAAGTCTCCAAATAACCACAACAATCTTGAAAGCAAAGAACAAAGTTATAGGTTTCACACTTCCAGATTTCAAACTATACTACAAAGCTGTCCTTATCAAAACAGTATAGTACTGGCATAAAAACAGACAAACATCAATGGAACAGAACAGAGAACCCAGAAATAAACCCATATGTATATGGTCAACTAATTATGACAAAGGAGGCAAGAATATGCAACGGAGAAAAGACGGTCTCTTCAACAAATGGTGTTGGAAAAATCAGACAGCTACACGCAAAAGAATGAAACTGAACCACTTTCTTACGACCTACACAAAAAGAACCTTGAAATGGATTAAAGATCAAATGTGAGTCCTGAAACCATAAAACTTCTACAAGAAAACACAAGCAATAAACTCTTCGACATTAGCCTTAGCAATGTTTTTCTGGACATGTCTCCCTAAGGCAATGAAAACAAAAGCAAAATAAACAAGCAGGACTACACCAAACTAAAAAGCTTCTGCACAGCAAAGGAAACCATCAACACAATGAAAGAGCAACCTACAGAATGAGAGAGGAGATATTCACAAGTGATACATTTGATAAGATGTTAATATCCAAAATATATAAAGAAGTCATATAAATAACACCAGAAAAAACAATCCAATTAAAAAATGGGCAGAGGACCTGAAGAGACAAAAGAAGACACAATAAAAGACATACAGACAAATTAAAGATGTTCCTCATCATCAGGGGAATGCAAATCAAGCCACAATATCACCTCACACCAGTCAGAATGGCCATCATCCAAAAGATAAGAAAAACAAGCGCGGGCAAGGATGTGGAGAAAAGGGAGCCCTCCTACACTGTTGGAGGGAATGTAAACTGGTACAGTTACCATGGAACAGTATGAAGGTTCCTCAGAAAATTAAAAATAGAAATACCATATAATCCAGTAATTCCATTTCTGGGTACTTACCCAAACAAAGCACTAATTTGAAAAGATACACGTCCCCATGTTTACTGTACCATTATTTACAATGACCAACATATTGAAGCAATGTAAGTGTCCACCAACAAATGAATGTATAAAGATGTGCTACATTTACACAATGGAGTATTAACTCAGCCATAAAAAAGACCGAAATTTGCTATTTGCGACAACAGGGATGGTACAAGAGGGTATTATACTAAGTGAAATAAGGCAAAGAAAGAAAAATACCACAAGACTTCACTTACATGTGGAATGTAAAAACTAAAACAAACGGGAAAAAATGGACTCATAAATAAATAACAAAACTAGTAGTTGCTGGAGGGGGCAGGGCTGGGGATAGGCAAAACAGGAGAAGAGGATCAAGACGTACAAATTTTCAGTTATAAAGTCAGTGTCACAGGCATGAAAGTACAGCATGGTGAATATAGTCAATAATATTGTAATAACTCATGGTGACAGATGGTAACTGCACTTACTTCATGATACACGTGAATGTAAAATCACTATGTTGCACACCTGAAACTAATACGATGTCAACTATACTTCAAAAAATTTCTTTAAAAACAAAAAATTAAAAAAATCAGCTGTCATTTCTAAATTGTTAACTGTGACAATCTCTGCAACACAAACTACTGAATGATATGTGTGTATGAAAAAATGCAGCATTTAATCATCATAGTCACCAAAGGCACAGAAACTCCTAACAATTATGTTTTTGGTTCAGTGAGATATCAGAATGCACCCTGCTGTGCACTTAATAAATTCATGCAAATGTCAGTTTTAGAGTATGAAAATTTAAAATCTTAACACAAAAATAATTGTTATGCTGGAAACAAAGCCTATATTTTATAAATGAGAAATTCTGAAACAATATTCATGAAAGGAATCAGCAATATTAAAATTAATGAACATAAATAATATTTTCCAATGCTGAACAATTCTTTTATAAAAGCACTGAAACCTGAAATATTTTTTTAACCTTGAAGACAAAAACATTTTCCTTTCAATACAAGCACCAACAAAAAATGTTATCCAAACAAAATAGAACATCTTTTTTATCAAAAAGTTAATGCCAGAATTTAATGAGTCTAATATTTAAGTAGTTAACAAAATTCTTATAATTAGGTTATAAAACATTTTTGATATTATTTAGTATTATTTTCTCTCTTAAAATCTTGGAAGACGGTATTTTTGCTAAAAGACGCAACGGCGCTAAATTTTAAAGTAAGTGCAACAAGGAAGGAAGCAATTAAACATTTTTAATCCACAAATATAATATAATAACCACAAGAGTGGCAGACAGTAAGTTCCATACACATTAATAAATGCTAAAGCTATTTAAGAAATATCTATGTTAAAATCAAATGCATAAATACTAAAATGTTTTAAAACAAACCATAATATAGCCTCTAAATACTCTGACCTTGCACTTTCATGTTTTCTCATTCCTTACTTTGTTCATGAATTCTGAACATTAAATGAAACGCTCACTCTCGAGCTGAGATTTTGCAGTATGAGTTGTTCTTGAGGATTTCCTGCCCTCCAGTGGTATCCGACTTAATATTTTCACTGCACCTTTCAACATTACCAAGAGAAGACACATCACTTCCACATTCACATTTTGAAATTATACTGCACTGTACGGCAGCATCTAATTTTTCTTCTGTCACAGGTTTACTCTCTGTTTGTACCCATGCATCACATTTTACAACCTGTAAACTGCAATGACTGGTTTTGTTTTGTGATATGTGTGAATTACACTGAGGCTGTGGAGGCTGATTAGCAGTATCTTTCACTGAGCAGTGATGAAAATTCTCACTTTGTTTACGGATTTTGGCATTGTTTTTAATGATCCTATCACATGGAAGCTTTGCCATCCTTTCTAGACACAAATGATTAGTTGGTTCTTTGGTTTTGATAGATCTCCTATTTGAATCTTCAACTTCCTTCCGTTTTTGATCTTCATCTTCAGATGACTAAAAGAAATTTAGTTAATTTTGCTGTAAATTATGTTTAGATTTTTAAAAATCAATCACTTTAAAGCAGGCATTCTTAGAATTCACATTATAAAAAATTTCAAAATACAGAAGAGACTCTGGCAGGTTTGCAAATTAAAGCTGCTATACCACCAAAGGGTCTTCAAACAATAGTCTACCACCTCCCAGAAAGTTACAGAGTTTTAATTTAGCAAGAACAATAAATAAATAAATAATCCCTGTATTAAAAATGCAAAGAACTAAAAAAGAGAAGAGACTTTTGCCTCTTATTAGTCCCCGTAGTCATGGCTACATCATCCCCCTATCCTTTCACACCAGGGAATTACATGTAACACAGTCTTCAACCACTTAAAAAGAGTAGAGTAGAAGTAATCATTTTGAAAGAAACAGCTAACACATATAACTTGTTCTATTAATCACTAATTGAATTATTAAGTCAAAAAATATCTATATTGTACCTTTTATGAAAGGTAGAATGTAAGGAAACCAGACTCATGAAAAATAGAATGTAAGGAAAGTATCAGCTAATAGGAAATCAAATAGACCAAAAAAAAAAAAAAATCAAGTAGCAGTAAATCTCAACTGTTTCTGAAAAAGTAAGATTTTAATAAACTTTAATAGGTCTAGTTTTCAATTTGCTAGCTTGAATTTTTCAAGTTTCTAAATTATCTAGTAATTCTGAACTAAACAAAATATTCTTTTTATGAAAATCTTGCATAAAAGAATTTATTCAAGCTAAATGAAAAGCAAGTCTAGCAGAAAAACACTAAAATTAGGTACAGACCTTAGCTGATTGGCACTAAGAAAAGCAAGTCCAAGAAACAGCCCTGAGAATAGCTGGGCAGAAATTAGAAAAAACAAGCTCACTACATGTATTTATTCAAGAAATAAATATTCATCAGTGTCTGCAATGTGAGTGAAGCAGGTATGGTTGCTACCCTCGCAGAGCACATACTTTCACGGTGGAAATGACAGTCACACATATGCATATATGATTACATATATATATGCATACATACATACATGTGTATATTATATATAGAGGGAAAACATGAACAAGTATGAAGCACTTTGAGAACATAACTGAGGCACGAATTTAAATTGAGGAGCCAAGAAGGGGCTTTTAGAAGCGACATATTTAAGCTAAGACCTATAGGATGAATAAGACAAGGCAGAGGAAACAGGATATATAAATGCTCTGCAGCAGAAAAGAGACTGACAAGCTAAATGAAATTCAGTATGTACGGAGCGTAGCGAAAGAGGGCAAATACTAGAGGTTGAAGAGGTAGTCAGAGGACAGACCACACAAGGCCTGTGGCCACTGTTAGGTATTTTAGATTCTAAAGTAAAACAGAAATCCATTGAATAGTTATATACAGGAATAATATGATTCAACTGAAGTTTTTAAAAGATCGTGATGATTGCTTAGCTGGTAAAGAAAGTGGGACGAGAGTGGAAGTAGAGAGGTCTCTCAGGAAACAACAATATTCAAGAACAAGATGATCGTATCTTTGACTAGGGTAACTGACAATGCAAGTTGAGAGAGGTAGATAAATATGCAACTTATTTTGGAGGCAGAACTGACTGGATGACAAAGGGAGGCAGATGAACGACAAAGAAATGACAAACTGCTAAGTTGCTGGCATGAGGAACTGAGGCTAAAAAAGGTATCTACTAATATGGAACTATCAGAAAAACTGATTCGGGGAGAAGAGTAGTGGATGTTCAGTTTGAGGTATGAGGATAAGGAGATTTTTTTATAAAATATCCAAAAGAATATATCCAGTATGAAACTGAACATCTAAATACATATTTAGGATAAAGTCACAAAGTTGAGAACTGTTATTAACCAGATAGTATATAAAGCCATTAAAGAACATAACATCATCTAGAATTTGGAGTGTAGGTTAAGAGAAGAGTCCTGGAGCAAATCCTAAATATTACCATTTATTCAGGGGAAGGAAGTGGGCGAAGACAAAGGAGAAGTCAGAGAGCTATGAAGGAAACCAAGATAGTGGGCCATCACAAAAGCAGAAAGAAAATCTTTCAAAAAAAGACAATAATCATTTCTACCAATATTATTAGGAGTTCTCATAAAATAAAGCGGTAAAGCATTCGATAAATTTGCAACATAGAGGTCACAGGGGTCCTTCCTTAGCATGAGTAGTTTGGATAGCAAGCTAGAAACAAAGCAGATGAAACAAACATGGAGAATACCACCGAAACATGTGATTGATGAGAAATGCAACATTCCCACTCAGGACACAACATGTCATTTTGATTATTCAGATTACAGCTCTCAATACATCTTATAGTTTTCTTCATATATGTCTTGAGACTTTGTGTATGTATTCTTGTTTGTTTGGGGTAATTTCAATTATTGTGAGTGGGCTCTTTTAAAAAGCCTTTTAAGAGAAATCCATACACACACACACACACACATACACACACACACACACACACACATCTTTAAGAGTGACTTCAACAAATAACAGTTATCACCTTTATAAATATGAATGAATGATGCTTATTTACATTTTAATTTTATATTTCCATTTATATTTTTATTACATTTTAAATAATTTTTACATGTTTTTGTTTGTATTTATTTCCACTTTTTATTGATTCACTTATTTTTTTCAAGAATGTGTAAAGGTAAATAATGAGAAATACAGGTATTTCTAAATTAGCAGAGAACATATCAATCAACAAGCAAAAAAAAACAGTAACTTACCAATTCTGAACTAGAACTGAAACAACTATCTGTTGGCCTTGGAGAGTAACTGGTAGACAGACTACTCTGTGAAGAATCAAGATCTGAAAATGAATGTTTGTTTCAGGAAGAATGTTATTGATTAATGCTTCACAAAAGATGTAAATAAGCAGAAGCTATCTGCTGGTTAAAAGTTCAGCTAACATCCTGTAAGAGCATTCTGAAGTACCCCAAAACTAGTTGAAATTTTGGCTACTTGACAGCTTGCATTATAGGTTTACTTATTCTACATTTAAAACATTTGTATCTACAAGTAAAATAAGGGTACTTAACATAAGGGAAGAAAGGAGAATAAAGAAACTGGATTCATTTTTTTCCAATATATAAACCATTTTTTATGAACAAATATCAACATGCAGGAAGGGAGAATGAGTCAAGTTTATAAAGTCTCAATGCACCAGATACTTGCTAATCTAGTAAATGAAGCTTCACTGTACAATCAAAACTGTATGAAAAAAATTAATAAATTCAAAGCATCTAGTATGATATACTTTCATTATCTCCTTAATGTGCTCTCTTATGATTACAAGTAAAGTTTAAAAATGGGCCTGAGAAGTAGGTCCTGACTCTCTATGACGCATAAATATTACAGATCCACAGCAGATTCAACCATTGCATTCCTGGCTTGTGAAAATGGGTTCACTACCAAGAAAAGCAAAAGGTCATAGAATGTGGAGTAACAACACAAATCAAATCACATGCCCTTCTGTATGCAGTGAACCATGAGTACTACCTATTCAAGACTCAAGTCATGGCCAATGCCCTCTGTAACAGGTCTGTTAGTCAGCTGAGTGACTAGAATTAAGTAGAAGAGTGAACATGATTATAATACATCATGATTTGGAATTTATTATAAGAATGTTAGGATGGTCCATATCACAAAATCCATTAGTAAAATTCACCTTTTTAAAATATTTATACTACAATGAGATCTCACTGCATACATATTAGATGGCCACTTATTTTAAACAAACAAACAAACAAAATAAGCATTGGTAAGGAGGTGGAGAAATTGGAACCCTTGTGCACTGTAAGTGGAAATGGAACAATGGAATAGCTGATATGGAAAACAGTATAAAGGTCCCTCAAAAAATAAACAGAACTACCATATAATCCAGCAATCCCATATCTGGGTATATATATCCTAATGAACTGAAAACAATTATCTTGAAAAGATATTTGCACACCCATATTCACTGCAGTATTATTCACAGTGGCCAAAAGGTAGAAGCAATCTACTTGTCTATCAACAAATGAATTGATACAGAAAATGTGGTAGATACATACAATGGAATATTATTCAACATTCGAAGAGAAGAAATCCTGTCATATGCTACAAGATGGATAAACCTTTGAGGATATTATGCTAGGTGAAATAAGCCAGTTACAAAAAGACAAATATTACATGATTCCACTTACATGAGATACTTAAAATATTGAAATTAATAGAAACAGAAAGTAAAATGGTGGCTGCCAGAGGCGACAGGGGAGGGGAGGTATACTGTACACTTGGGGGAATTGTTGGGAAGGTGAGTTTTATTTATGCGTGTGGGGGTGGGGGGTTGAACACAATAAAAAAAATTCTATGGAGAAAAATTAATAATCATTTCTATAGATGCCAAGAATCACACTTCCTCAAAGTCACCTCCTAACAAACTCTCAGGAAAATAATCAACATGCATGTGCCTAAGTTCAAAATCCAGAATCTTATTTAATGTGGAAACATGGGATGTATGTTCACACTAAAGTTCCAACAAGAAACAACAAGAAGCGCCTACAGATGAATCCAACAAGGCACGTGTAGAATTCACTTCAGGAAAACTTCTTAGTGCTTAAATATGTTTTCAAAAACTGTTGATACAAATTTAGGCCAAATTAACAGAAAGGCATCCTTTTTCTTAGACAGGATTATTCAACAGCATTAAGATGACAATTCATACTAAGTTAATTTACACATTTAACATTTTCCTAATAAAAATTAAAACATTTATTTGAAGTTTGACAAGTTCATTTTAAAGTTTATATGAAAAAAAGTAAAAGGCAGCCAGAAGCACTCTTTTTGAAAAACGCAAAGGGGGGTTTATTTCCTGTAGAAATTAAACATACTAAAGTAAACACAATAAAAATAGTATGTTATAGCACATTAAAATTAGGAAAGACCAATGAAACAGTAAAAAAAAAAAAAAAAGGTCCCAATACAGACCCTGATGCATAAGGAAAATTAGTATAAAATGGTGGTATCACAAATATCTAGGGAAAAGACACATTTTTAAAACTTGAATCAATACATATCTCACGCCTTAAATCAGGATAAATTCCACATAGATAAAGATCTAAATATAAAAATATAAACTCATACTCTTACTAGAAGAAAACATAAGTGAATTCATTTATAACCTGTAAGTGTAGAGTCTTTTTAATTAAATCTAAAAGTATAAAAAGATCAATATAATTAACCACATGAAAATATATTAAGACTTTTGCAAAGCAGGAGACACCGCAAGCAAAAAAAACAAAACAAAAAAAAAATCAAAAACCAATAATAAACTAGGAGAAAATACCTGTGACATATCACAAGGACATAAATCTCTTTACAAAGAGCTTTTTAAATATCCAGGAAAAATGCCAAAAATTCAATTGGTCAAAGACATGAAGAGAGTTCACAGAAAAGGAAAGGGAATAGCCATCCGACCTTTTCGAAAAGCTTGACTTCACTCACAGTAAAAGAAGTGCAGACCCAAATTTGTATCTATACATCTCTCTTTAAACGATTCACAGAAATTTGTTAAGTTTGTCCACTAGCCTATTGGTGAGGCTGTGGATTAAAAGGCACATTTCTGGTGGGATTGCCAAATGGGATGCAACAGGGATTGGCAGCATCTAGAAAAACCAAATTTTGCCAGTATCTACCAGAAAAGCCAATGCATCGCCCTTTCACTCAGCAGTCCCACTCCTAGAAACCATCTTGACAATGCACCTCCACAATTAAGCAACATATGCACAAAATTGTTAATTGCAGTTATTCACAGTTGTTATTTTAAGAGTAAGATATGGGAAACAACTCAAATATCCACCAACAGGGTACTGACTGATTGAAATATAGTCTATACACATAAGGAATCACTAAATAGTCATAAGTAAAGGATGAAGAAATGTCTAGTACTAACATGGAGACATCTGTAGGATATTTTATTAAATAAGTGAATCCATTCAATTCATTTATAAAATATCCTATATTAAAGCAAATACCCTATATTACATTTAGAGTGAGAAAGGCAGGGAACTAAGGCTCATTTAAAGGTGTGTTAATGTATTTTTAGGCTTTTTTGGGGGGAAAAAACCCATTGAAATGATAAACCATAAACCAACAAAAAAAAAAATGAGGCAGAAGAAAATAGAGCAAACAGGACAGGGCTAGAAACCAAATTAATGTTTCACATATTCAAAAAGTTGAATCAAAAAAGAAAAAAAGTCTATGAAAATTTGTGGGTATCCAAGCAGACTAGAAATCCTGAGGAATCATTCTACCAGAATAGCTAAGAAGTTCCAGCCACTTTTGTCCATAAAAAAACAACACAGAGTAAAAAGAAGCCTCAAAAATGAAGTACTTGGTACCCACAGGCTTACTAAGCAATTGATATCTATGACATAAACGATATATAGGATATATGCATATAGCTCTAGATATGAGGCACATCTCATAAGGAAAGCCAGAGCTAAACTTCCTAAAAGAAACCTGAGGAATAGACATAAAAGCCAATTTACAGATAAAACATGCATGGCTAATGAATTAATTACTAATCAGGGAAATATATATTAAAATTACAATGAGATATCAGATTGCCAACAATGATAAAAAGCTGACCTAGTGTTAGTGAGAATATGTAACAACTACAACAACCTCTTGCTAGTGGGAGTTTGAGCTGGAGCTGGCACAACTACTTGGCAAAACAATTGTGCACCGCTTCGGAGAGGTGAAGAGGTGCTTATCATATGAACTAGCCACTTCTATTCCTAGAGCTATGTCCTAGAGGAAATGTTTATACATATGCCCGGAGAAATGTCAAGAATTTCCAAAGTAGCTTTGCTCATCATAGCAAAATATTCAGAACAACCTAAATAAACATTGCCAGAAGGTGCATAAACAAACTGTGGTACATTCACACAGTAGAAGACTGTACAGCAGTAAAGAAATAATAAAATTTACTAGAGTCACAAGTATCATAGTGAATGAATCTCAAAGTATATTTCTGGGTGGAAAAAAAAAGGCAAGTTGCAGAAATATACATGGTTTGCCTCAGTTTGTAGAAAGTTCAAAATTAAGCAATGGGAAAAAAATCTGTGTGGTATCACAAAAAACAAATTTAATATAATAGTTACCTCTAGGGGGCAGGATAGGAAATGCAATCGAGATTTTCAAAAGTATTGGTTACATATTATTTCTAACACTACAAAGTGAGTACTAGGGTATCTGCTTTATTGTTACTTGCTAAACTATACGTACACATTATATATACTCATTATTTTACAAAGCATTTTTTAAAAGATCAAGGTAATTGTAAAGGGTCATTTGCATTACTAGTACATTCTAAGATAACTGTGAAACATATTTGCTAGCAAAAATTAAACACTTAAAATATAACTGATTTCCACTTAAGTGTCAATGTTTTAAAAAGAATAAAATCCACTTATAGTTTTACTGACATATTTTCTTAGAAGATGTTGGCCTGCCTTTTAAAGAACAAGCTCCTCCTCCTTCAATCAGAATCTAGAAAAAAAACAAAATTTTAACAACTTCCAAGTACATACAAAAATAACCACTCTTGTCACCCCTTTTAACCCCACCAATTCATTTTATAGTACTCTTATTTCAGGTTAATTCAACTCAGATGACTTTAGAACCACAAAGAAATATTTATGACAAACAATAACATGAAATTTAAATTGGTTTAGAAATAGCAAGCAAAATAGACATTTGCTAAGAAATGAATTACTTCAGGTAATCACAGTCAATACAACGGAAAAAATGCAAACATATTAAAGAAATCTGAAGTTTCATTTTTATTCTCTAATTTCTTAAATTGGATATCAGTTCACTTAATTAAAAAAATTAAATTAATTAAACTACATAACAATAATTAATTAAATGACCAAAGCTCTCAGAGGCAGAAATTTTCTGTAGAACACACCATTGGTTGTGGCTTTCATCAATTTCTATGTAATTCATAATTTATTTTCATTTTCTTTCTTTTTCTCTTTTAAACCCAGAATATTTCTTAATTTCCAACAAAGTAAGAGAGATTAAGCATCTTTTTTGGTGCTGTGGATTTCTAACATAATGAATTGTTAAAGAATGTGGCTATGAAACTCCTTAGATAAATCTCCTAGACCTCTTTAAGAGTCCATTGGAATTATATTTGTGAATGTACCATGAACTTACAGAAAATAGGTATTTTCTGTTGGTGAGATAGGGTTTACATAAGGCAGAGAGACCTTCCTTGTAGGCGTAGAGCTAGACTGTATTTCCTAGCCTCCCTTGGAGCTGGGTTGGACGTGTGATTTAAGTTCTGGTCAAGAAGTGGTGTACCCCACTGACAGTCCTGGCTCATGAAGTTTCTCTCCACAACCCCCCACTTCCCTTCTCCTTCTGCTGTCTGACACCAACATACAGTACAAACATGGAAACCGCCAGCTGAAGACGGCAGTCCCACCAGCTTGGGGCCCTGAATGACCTCAGGCAGCAGAGCCTCTTCTCTAAACCCACTACTCAATCATTTTAAAAGTGTTGTGTGTTCAACTGTTCAAACATTCAAGCCCAAATGTGCATCAGGAACACACAAGATGAGAAAACTATATAGACCCCAAGATAGGCACACACTCCAATACCCAATTCGGATCTGTTGATCGAGACTAACAAATAAAGAAGACTGTCCCAAACAGAAGAAACCAAATTATTCGAAGAACTTCCCCCGTCATTCAGGACAGCAAGACTTCACAACGCCTGCCCAGCAGGAGTTCAAAGTCCGTGTGCGTCACTAGCTCTGGAGCTCCTCCTCCTCTTCTCTTCTGAATGGGCTTTTTATTGTATTTATACCATCCTTGCACCGATATTCTGTATTTTCTTTATGCAAATCTTTTTTGCTATCTTTTTATTTCTAACCCTTATTATTATATTACACTCATTTTTTGAAAAATATTTTTCTCTTTCAATTTGATATTCTTGGAATCTTGATTTAAGAAATCAGCCCCTTCATTTTTAATATATTAATTGCTAAGCAGGTTTAATTCCCTACATTTCATGTTTCCCATTTAGGTAGAAGCGCTATTTCATTTGTTCCCAAATTGATCAGGTTTTCTAGCCGACATCCCCACTCTTCCAAATTCTGAAGTTCTTCCATGTGTCACCGTTTCTCTACTGATTACCTTACCTTTTTAACAATCATATTTAAACCTTATTCCTATAATACTTCAAAACTGAATAAGTTCAGTTCAAGATGGTAACATAAAAGGATCCTGAATTCACATCCTCCTATGGACACACCAAACTGACAGGTACATGTGGAACAATTCCCTCTGAAAGAAACCCAAAAACTAGCCAAGAGACTCCTACACGTTGGGCAAACATGATAAAACCTGTATCAAAACAGGAGAGGCTGAGACACAATTTCCCCATAAACCCCATCTTCAACACAACCACCCACCATTAGGAGGGAACCCATAACTCCAAGCTTCTCCCTGAGGAACAAATGGATTGAACCCCAAATCTGATACCCAAACTTTTAGGACCTCCACCTAGAAGATGAGCCTCCAAAACACCTAGCTGTGAAAGCCAATAGCACTTGTGTCTCCCAGACCCCCAAGGCTGTAGTGAACTGAGAGAGAGTCCTTCAAGGGCTCACACAGGCTGTGCTGAGGACTGAGGCAGGCCACTGAGACACCCAGTCACCCTGTGAAAGAAACCTATTGGCTGTCCTCATGGCTACAGCCTGAGGAGCAGGCCACTAGTCAAACTTACATCTAAGGGGCAACTACAGTCCTCTCCAGAGGCCTTCAAGGAGGGGTGCTCTCTTCACACTGTCCCTCTGCCTCATGCCAGGTCACCAGTACCTCCCAACAAAGAGCCTGTGCACCTATCTAGTGCCCTGGGGTTTGTGGCTGCTGCCTGGGGGACACCCCCTGATCACCCTGCTCTGGTGGCCAACGGGGCTTATGTTTATAGGTCCCACAGGACTGTAACAAACACAGAGTCCTTAACTGGCTACCCTCCAGAGCACAGTACAGAGAGACAGCACACTGAAAGGCAGCCCCAGTCTTTCTGTGAAAGAGCCTATTTGCTTATCTTAAATCGTTGGCCTGAGATGAAGGCTTCCGATTTAACACGGGGAGAGGCCTGCCGTAATGTTCTCTGAAGACCAGAGAGCCCGGGGGGGCATCTCTGTGCTCAGGCTCTGCCTCGCTCCAGGTCACCAGCATCTCCCAGGAAAGGGTTTGTACACACGTCCGGAGCCCTGGTTTTGCAGCTGCCCTCCAGAGAACGCCCCTTGCTAGCCTGACATGGTAGCCGAAGGGCCACAGGTCCCACAGGACTTAACAAATGGCGAAAGAATTCTTAACCAGCTATTTTCCAGGACACAGCAAAGAGGCAGCAGGATGAAATGCCGAGTCTTTCTGTGAAATAGGTCTGTGAGTTTATTTTCATACATTTAGCCAAAGGGGAAGCTTCTAATTAAAGACACATCTAGGAGCCAAATGCAGTCCTCTCCAGACTCAGAGGCAGACAGGGGGTACCATTTTCATGCTCTGCCCTACCCCAGGTCTCCAGCGTCTCCAAGGAGCCTATGCACATCCGGTACCCCAGCTTTTGCGGCTGCTGCCCAGAGGATTCATCCCTTAACAGCCTGGTTGTGAGAGCCAGTGGGGCTTGTGTTCATGAGTTCGACAGGATGGTGAGAACAAAGAAACAGTCCTTAACTGACTATCACAGCAGAACTCAGCGCAAAGGGAGCGGACAGAAATGTCCATCCTCAAGTCTTCCCATGAAAGAGATTTATTTACATACTTGGAAGCTACTGTGTGAGGGTCCAGTTTCCCATCAGAATGAAACTAGGTGCTGACTGAGATATTCCAGTTTGAGACACTGGCAAGTTTTTTCAGACCCTCAACTACTACAAGCTGTTAAAAATAAAGTAGGTTGCTTGGACATTCACACATTTAAGACAACTAAAAGCTAGAGCAGGGTTGAAACATAATGCGTATCTCCTACACAAGGCCACTCCTTCAAGATCAGAAGAGGTACCTGTGTTACCTAATGCAGTGAAGCCAACACAGAAAGTCAAGGAAAATGAAGAAACACAAGAATATGTTCCAAACAAAAGAAGAAGATAAAGCCTCAGAAAAAGACCTCAGTAAAACAAAGGAAAGTGATTTACCTGATAAGAGTTCAAAGTAATGACATAAATATGGTCACCAGGTGAAGGAGAACAATGCAAGAACAAAGTGATAATTTCAACCAAAGAGAAATCACAAAGCTGGAGAATACAGCAACTGAAGTGAAAGATACAGCAGAAGGGTTCAACAGACTGGAAAAAGGCAAAGATTGGACTGGTGAACTCAGAGACAGGGCAGTAAAATTTATCCAATTGAGAGCAAAAAGAAAAAGAAATTAGAAAGAATAAAAACAGCATAATGGATTTATGGGACAATATCAAGTGGACCACTATTCACATTATAGGGGTCCCAAAAGGCGAAGGAGAGAAAGGAGCAGAACACTTACTTGAAGAAATAATAACCTAAAACTTGCCTAATGTGGAGAAGGAAACAGGTACAGATCCAGGAAGAGAACATAATGTACCAACCTAAAATAGACTGCTATAAATATAAGTTGCCTCATATAAGCTTCATGGTAACCAGAAAGTAAAAATCTACAGTACATAAAGGAGAAAGAGAAAGAATCTAAGCATACTACTAGAGAAAATAATCAATCACAAAGGAAGAGAGTAAGAAAAGAATAAAACAAAGGAATTACACAACAGCCAGAGAGCAATAAACAAAATGGCAGTAAGTCCATACCTATCAGTAACTGCTTTAAATGTAAATGGACCAAATTGTCCAATCAAAATATGCAGAGTGGGTGAATGGATAAAGAAATAAGACCCATCAACATGCTGCCTACAAGAGACTCACTTCATGCATAAGGACACACACGACTGAAAGTGAAGGGATAGAAAAAGATGTTCCATGCAAAGGGAAACCAGAAGAAGCTATACATGATCAAACAAAACAGACTTTAAAGACAGTCTGTAATCAGAGACAAAGGTCATTATATTATGAAACAGGGCAAATCCAAGAAAAGAATATTTGCAAATATTTATGTTCCCAACACAGAAGCACCTAAACATATATAGTAAACATGAACAGACCTGAAGGGAGAAATAGAGCAATAAAACAATGGTAGGAGACTTAAATACTCCACTTACATCACCAGAGCATCCAGACAGAAAATCAGTAAGGAAACATCAGCTTTAAATGATACTTTAAACCAGATGGAGTAAACAGATATATACAGATCTCATCCAAGTGCAACACAATTTACATTCCTCTCAGATGCACATGGAGCATTCTCTAGGACAGATCACACATTAGGCAATAAATCTTAATAAATTTTAAAAGGCTGAAATCATATCAAGCATGTTTTCCAACCAAAATGGGATAAAACCCAAGTTCAATTACAGGACAAAAAAATGGAATATTCACATTTTTGTGAAAAGTAAACAACATGCCCCTGAACAACCAATGAGTCAAAAAGTCTATCAAGAGAGAAATTTTAAAATATTTTGAGACAAATGAAAATGGAAATGCAACATATTAAAACCTCTGGGGTGCAGCAAAAGAGAATTCATGGTGATAAACACCTACATTAAAAAAACTAGAGCTCAAACAACCTAACTTTATACCTCAAAGAAACTAGAAAAAGTTAGTAGAAGGAAAGAAATAACAACTATAGCATAAATGAATGAAATAGACAGTAGAAAGAAAATTAAAAAGATCAATGAAACTAAGATGTTTTCTGAAAAGATAAAATTGACATACTTTCAGCTAGACTCAACAAGACTCAAAGAAAATCAGAAAGTACAGAGGAGAAAGACAAAACTGTATTATATACCATGTATAACATACTAGTATGAACAACTATATGCCAACAAATTGGACAACTTAGAAGAAATAAATTTTTAGAAACATACAACTGAATCATGAAGACCAAATCATGAAGAAATAGAAAATATGAGTAAGTCGATTTCTAGTAAGGAGA